CGGGTTTAGCCTAATAGCGTCAGTGCTGCGCCCTCCTGTTGCCCGTGTGCCTGCAGCTTCAGCCGTCGCCTCTCATCTTCTCGCCCTCCACAGATTATCCTCCTACTCACTTGCCCTCTGTGATAGCCTCTAGTTTTGCTTATCCTTGTGAACTATTGCACTGCCTGCTTGTTGTGTTGATTGTATCCCACTTTGACTATGGGGGTGTGTCAGAATGTGATGTTTGTGTAGCCTGCAATGCGGTACTCTATAGCGAGTACAGCCCGGATTAGGGTTTGCTATATGTACTCAACTGCATGCTAGTGAAAAGCACTCTTTCCTGATTCTGATTTTTGCCTAGCCTTTCAACAATAGTGAGCGCGACGGTTAGAGGGGGGAGATAACGAGGGCAAAGGGCCAGCTGAGCGCGACAGCGCGAGGGCGACGAAAAGGGTGGAATGAGAACGTGGCGAAGGCTTGTTAGCGGAGGGCGGATGCACTTGTGAGAGTGGTGCCGGAGTATCCGTGTGAAGTAACTACGCAAGCTACCGTGATAGTTGTGGATATCGGGTAATGTTGGAACGATCAGTCAGAGCGTAAAGTGAACCCAAGTCCAACTTGAAGTTCTGGTTGGACCCAACTAGATATGGGAGGCGTCGGCTTCAACCCAACCAGTTGGTGTCGCATGATCAAACGTGGAAACTTTCAGAAGCACGAAACTTCATGAATTCCGCTCCCCCTCCCACTCCCCCGGTACAGCCTCCCCCCCCTGGTCCCGCCCCGTCAGGTGTGTCCCAGGCTACCCCTCCCCCCTCGGTAGCCCCTCAGGTGCAGCCTCCTTCCCCGCAGTCCTCCTCGCAGCCTGCTGCAGACCCTGTGGGAGCCGGTGCTCGTGGAGAGGGCCCTACAGGTGCTAGCTCTGGGGGTGCTGGAGTTGGAGTTGAGCCCGTGGTTGCAGGAGACTCTTGTCTTCCGGGAGCTGGAGCTGGTCCTGCTGACTTTGGGGGTGCTACATCTGGGGGTGCGGGTGCACCCTCATCGGGTCCTGGTGAGCCTGGTCGTGTTGGTGTTGGTGGTGCTGACTCTGGGGGTGGTGCGCCAGGTGCTTTGGAGGGCGGTCCCGGGGCTGCCGCAGCCCCCGACACTACTCCTCCCCCCCACCCCTACCCGACCCGGCACCAGGCTCGTGTTCGCCATGCCCGTGAGGAGCAGCTGGAGTTGGAGAGAGAGGAGAGAGAGTTGCAGCGGCTGGTGGAGCAGCACCAGCAGCAGCAGCAGGAGCAGCTGTAGCAGCCGCAGCTGGAGCCGCCGCAGCAACAGGAGGCGCAGGAGCTGGAGCCGCTACAGCAGCAGGAGGAGCAGCAGCCGCCACCGCAGCAGCAGCAGCCGCCGCCGCTGCCGCAGCAGCAGCAACAGCCGCCGCCTCCTCCTCCTGTCTCCGGTCTTCGGGCCCTCGGTCTCCCCTCCCGCTCTCCTTCCTCCTCCCCCTCTCCTCCCGTCTCGGGTCCTCCGCTTCCTCCTCCTGACCCCTCTCCAGTTGTTTTCCCTCGTTCTCAGTCTTCGTTGTCCCCTCCTTCTCAGACATGGGCCTCTCGTCGCTCCCCTCGTGCTCGTCCCTCGTCCCCTGTTCCCTTCACTGACCTTCGTACTGCCTTACTTCGTTCTATTCCGCCTCGTCTGTCTCCGTCTGTGCTTCCGTCTCCTCCTGAGTCGGCCCTCACTGCTTCCCTTTCTACTCCTGTCACTAACTACTACCGCACGTACCGTCCTGTTCACTCTCGTGTTCTCGCCTCTCTTGTTACCCACCCTCGTGCCTCTGTGTTCTCTGCTCTTACTGCCGCAATCACTGAGTTTGCCTCTACTCGCCGCCTTGACTTCGCCACCAGTCTTGTGGCTGCTCCTCCTTCCAGTCCCCTGGCCGTCAGGGGTGTGTCTGCCCTTGGCTGTGACGCCCTAGAGGACAGGCAGTTTGAGCTAGAGTTCCTGGCAGCCGCTTCCCCTCATCTCTGTGCCATGCTGATCGCCCTTGAGGGAGACCCCGACGCCCTTGACATACCGACTCCTCGCACTTACGCTGAGGCAGTGTCAGGGCCTTAGGCCTCTAAGTGGAGAGCTGCCATAGACGTAGAGATGGCCTCCTACAGATCCACAGGCACGTGGATCTACAGGGTTCCCCCTCTTGGGGCGAACGTAGTCGATGGCATGTGGATCTACAGGGTGAAGCGGCCACCGGGATCTCCTCCGGTCTTCAAGGCGCGCTACGTGGCTAGAGGTTTCAGTCAGCGCGAGGGAGTTGACTTCTTTCAGACCTTCGCGCCCACCCCGAAGATGACCACTCTTCGGGTGTTTCTGTACGTAGCGGCACAGAGAGACTACGAGTTACACTCTCTTGACTTCTCTACTGCGTTTCTTCAGGGTAGCCTAGACGAGGAGGTCTGGCTGCGTCGTCCCTCTGCCTTCACTGGCACTTTCCCTCCTAGGACCCAGTGGAGGCTGAGGCGACCGGTCTACGGTCTCCGTCAGGCTCCTCGTGAGTGGCACCAAACCCTTCGTTCTACCCTCGCTGACCTTGGTTTTCAGCCGTCGTCTGCTGACCCGTCGCTGTTCGTTTGTCGTGGCTCCACACCGTTCTTTGTTCTAGTCTACGTTGACGACCTGGTTTTTGCCACTGCTGACAGGGTTGCCTTGGCAGACGTGAAGTCCGAACTGCAGAAGAGACACACGTGCACTGACCTTGGTGAGCTGCGTCACTACCTTGGCCTGCAGATCACCAGGGACAGAGCTGCTCGCACCATTACACTCTCACAGCCACACATGGTGCAGCAGGTCCTTCAGCGGTTCGAGTTTCAGCACTCCACAGTACAGCACACACCTCTTGCTGTTGACCACAGACTCACTGGACCCTTTCGTGACGAGCCGTTTGAGTCAAGTGGTCCCTACGCAGAGCTAGTGAGCTGCCTCATGTACCTGATGACTTGTACTCGCCCGGACCTCGCCTTCCCTCTCAGCGTCCTTGCTCGCTTTGTTGCGCCAGGGAGGCACTGTCCTGTTCACTGGACGGCAGCTGTGAGGGTGGCGAAGTACCTAGCGACGACATCAGGCGTGGGGCTAGTGCTTGGTGGGCAGCAGCCTGTCGTACTTACTGGTCACTGTGACTCTTCTTACGCTGACGACGCTGAGACTCGCAGGTCTACTCAGGGGTACTGTTTCAGCTTAGGTTCTGGAGCTGTTTCCTGGCGGTCCACGCGCTCCTCTTTAGTCTCGACCTCTACAGGTGAGGCTGAGATCTACGCTGGTGCCATGGCGGCACAGGAGCTGCGTTGGTTGACGTTTTTGCTCGCTGACCTTGGTGAGCGGCCGAGCTCTGCACCGACCTTGTTCACTGACAACAAGGCGTCGATTCTCCTCTGTCGTAAGCCGCGACTGGAGAGCAGAGTGAAGCACATTCACGTCAGGTACTTCCTTCTGCGAGAGTTGCAGAGACGTGGACAGGCTCGCTTCGAGTTTGTGGAGTCCGAGGCCAACACTGCAGACATCTTCACCAAGGCGCTTCCGCCTTGTGACCACCAGAGGTGTTGTGTGCAGTTAGGCTTTGTTGACACAGGTTCTAGTCGTGTATAGGCTTGAGTTCACTGTTTGCTTTGCTTGTACTCTTGCTATACACACTTGTGAACTCTTGGACTGGCCTTGTGGCCACTGTTGCTTGTGCTCAGAATGTGTGGTGACGTTGTGATCCACCCTGAGCTTTGTATCTTTGTGACTGGTCTTGTGACCGTACACTTTGGTTTTGCTAGACACCCCTCACTTAGGCTATGGGGGTGTGTCAAATGTTGTAGCCTGTAGTGAGGTTTGTCTTAGCGAGTACAGAGGTTAGGGTTTGCTATATGTACCCCAACTCACATCAATGACACCAACACTTCTATTCTTGACAGTTTCGACCATCTTTTTGCCACAGTGCTTTGATTCCTCCCGATTTCAAGCTGGGCCTCCCTTCACTATTTTGCCTGCTCGCTTTAAAAAAATGCATTATTACAGGAAGTTTGCGTGTACAATCTCCTAGATCAATCACTAAGGTTGCACTGGTACTTTCTCAGAGCAGGAAGGGTTTTCGTGTAGCTGCTTCATTTGCAGTTCAGGCTTGCAAAGGCCAGAACAGATAGGCATGTCCCAAACAGCCACAGCAGAGGGCGTGCATATATTCTGGCAGAGCGGCCAACTCCTTTCATGTGTCACGTTGAAGGCGAGCATCCATGCCCCCATTGTAACGTCCTCGTTCACAAACATCCTCAGCCTGTAATGCAGAAAGAGAGCAGAAATTGGAGAATACTAGTTAGCGTTCAAGTTGAGGAATTTTTTTTGGCAGAAGGCATTCATGCCTTGCAGTGACATGCATGCCCTGCAGTGACATGCATGCCTTGCAGTGACATGCATGCCGTGCAGTGACATGCATGCCGTGCAGTGACATGCATGCCTTGCAGTGACATGCATGCCGTGCAGTGACATGCATGCCTTGCAGTGACATGCATGCCTTGCAGTGACATGCATGCCTTGCAGTGACATGCATGCCTTGCAGTGACATGCATGCCTTGCAGTGACATGCATGCCTTGCAGTGACATGCATGCCTTGCAGTGACATGCATGCCTTGTAGTGACATACATGCCTTGCAGTGGCATGCATGCCTTGCAGTGACATGCATGCCGTGCAGTGACACGCATGCCTTGCAGTGACATGCATGACTTGCAGTGACATGCATGCCATGCAGTGACATGCATGCCTTGCAGTGACATACATGCCGTGCAGTGGCATGGATGCCTTGCAGTGACATCCATGCCGTGCAGTGACATGCATGCCTTGCAGTGACATACATGCCTTGCAGTGACATGCATGCCTTGCAGTGATATGCATGCCTTGCAGAGACATGCATGCCTTGTAGGAGGGGGAGCAGACCAGTCACAGGCGCACATCACCGCAAGGCATGCACGACTTGGTGGCTACAAGCATGGATAATGGAAAGGAAGTCTCACCTGCCGTTGGGAACGGAGTTGAGGATTTTGACGACGCCGTAGGAGAGGGAGTAGATGTTGCTGTATGCATGCAGGAAATACTGCGGCCCCAGCAGTCGTGAGTTCGGCTCAAACCTGCCAAGACCAAAACACGAGAAAACCAAAACAGGAAAGAGGTCAGAAGTGAGTATGAGGATGAGAACAGCAGCAGCAGTTGTTCGTCCGGCAAACATAAGGACACCTGAAGTTAGTATGGGATGGGACTGTGATAGAAAGCATTAGGAACACTAGGAATGCACAACTTGTTTAAAACCTCGGTACACCGTATGCTGCTGCATGGGCTGAGAAGGTTGCCGAAAGAATTGCCAGCAAGCGCGATCCAGGTGTAATATCGCAACTCACTCGCTCATGTCGGGGTTGGTCACCACGGCTCCATTCTTGAAGCATCCAAGGTACGTTCGAGGTGACTTCCTTGGCATGGCGACCAGAGAAGCAAGGCGGTCTGCAGAGATGAACAGAAACAGCCAGCAGAGGGTGGGACTGGTGTGAGTGAGTAAGGACTCTCTCAAAGCTGCTAATAATTGCCAGCCATATTATGTGAGCAAGGACGCTCAGTGTCGCCGGCAACACATGATATGATCCTCAATTCTTCAGAGAGAGAGAGAAAAAAAGACATTCTGCAGCAGCACAAAAAGCATTTGCATGCACACACAGTCCCAGTAACAGCAGCAGCCCTCTGCCACGTGAGTCTCAAATGGACGCCCAGATCTGCCTGCCTTAGGATGTGCCTGCCTTAGAGACCCGTTCCATAGCACTTGGGTTGTCGTAACTCTAAGCCGCACTCACTCACAGAGCATGGGAAGATTCAGATGAGCGCACCTGGTATGAGGTAGATGTCGTCGTCTGTCTGCCTTAAAGCCCTGCTTCATGGGAGGTGTATGCGGCCCTGGGAGGTGTAAGATGGGCGCACCTGGTATGAGGTAGATGTTGTCGTCTGTCTGCCTTAAAGCCCTGCTTCATGGGAGGTGTATGAGGCCCTGGGAGGTGTAAGATGGGCGCACCTGGTATGAGGTAGATGTCGTTGTCTGTCTGCCTTAAAGCCCTGCTTCATGGGAGGTGTATGAGGCCCTGGGAGGTGTAAGATGGGCGCACCTGGTATGAGGTAGATGTTGTCGTCTGTCTGCCTTAAAGCCCTGCTTCATGGGAGGTGTATGAGGCCCTGGGAGGTGTAAGATGGGCGCACCTGGTATGAGGTAGATGTCGTCGTCTGTCTGCCTTAAAGCCCTGCTTCATGGGAGGTGTATGAGGCCCTGGGAGGTGTAAGATGGGCGCACCTGGTATGAGGTAGATGTCGTCGTCTGTCTGCCTTAAAGCCCTGCTTCATGGGAGGTGTATGAGGCCCTGGGAGGTGTAAGATGGGCGCACCTGGTATGAGGTAGATGTCGTCGTCTGTCTGCCTTAAAGCCCTGCTTCATGGGAGGTGTATGAGGCCCTGGGAGGTGTAAGATGGGCGCACCTGGTATGAGGTAGATGTCGTCGTCTGCCTTGACGTAGAACTCGGCTTCATAGAGCTTGAAGAGTGATGTGAAGTACACGAGACTGGGGGATGGGGGATAGGGAAATATATGAAAACAGGTAGAGAAATGATTGAGAGGAGTTCAACAGTACTGCATTTTGTTACTAGGAAACCTATAGATTACGAATCGTATCACACCAATGCAACAAAAGCAAGTAGGCAGCAGGGATGGACGAAACTCCACAGGAACTACACCAGGTATGCGGAAGGCACGAGGAAGGTACGTGGAAGGTACAAGCATAAGGGGCTTCAGATGCAGCAGCATGCGAGGAAGAAGCATAATAGCAGGCAGGCAGCATTTCACGCTATCTATCATAAAAGGAGAGCCACTCACGCCTTGCGGTTGGCATTGAACTCCCTGCAGCATAGTAACAGCGAGCATTTCACGCAGGACAGCATCTCACGCCTGGTGGTTGAAGCTGGCCTTGTCCACGTGGATGCGAAGCAAGTCCCCATGAGTGGTTGAACACTGTCATCAAAGGGGGGGGAGCAACTCATGCCTTGGAGTTGGAATTGAAGCTGGCCTCGTCCACGTGGATGCGAAGCGAAGTCCCCGTGAGTGCTGTTCTCCACCTGCAGCTGCTCCTCGTCCTCCGCGCTCCACCCATTTCACGCCATCTATCATAAAAGGCGAGCAACTCACGCCTTGCGGTTGGCATTGAAGTCTGCCTCGTCCACATCGATGCGAAGCAAGTCCCCGTGAGTGCTGTTCTCCACCTGCAGCTGCTCCTCCTCCTCCGCACTCGTGCCGTGCCCGATAATGAACCGAAACACCAGCCCCGCCTCTGCTTCCAAGCTGAAATGCGTGTAGTGGGGAGGAAGGGGAGAGGATGGGGGGAGGATGGGGAGGGCAGGACACCTCTCCTCGTCCTCTGCGCTACACTCATTCCCGATGATGAACCGAAACACCCGCCCGGCCTCTGCTTCCACTCTGGAATGCGAGTGAAAGGGGGAGGACGGGGAGAGGGGGAAAGGGGGAGGACGGGGAGGGGGGGGAAGGGGGAAAAGGTGCAGAGAGGGCGCATCGCTTCACAGCACCTCGTCCTCCGCGCTCCACCCATTTCCGATCATGAACCGAAACACCAGCCCCGTTTCTGTTTCCAGTCTGGGGAACATGTGAATAGTAGGACGAGGAGGGCGGGGAAGGGGGGGGAAAAGGCGCAGAGAGGGCACAAGCCATGTCAACCGGAACACATACCGCATCCAAAGCACATCACATCACATCACATCACATCACAGCACATCACTGCATCACATCACATCACTGCATCACATCACATCACATCACATCACTGCATCACATCACATCACATCACATCACATCACATCACATCACATCACATCACATCACATCACATCACATCACATCACATCACATCACATCACATCACAGCACATCACTGCATCACATCACATCACTGCATCACATCACATCACATCACATCACATCACATCACATCACATCACATCACATCACATCACATCACATCACATCACATCACATCACATCACATCACATCACATCACATCACATCACATCACATCACATCACATCACATCACATCACATCACATCACATCACATCACATCACATCACATCACATCACTGCATCACATCACATCACATCACATCACATCACATCACATCACATCACATCACATCACATCACATCACATCACATCACATCACATCACATCACATCACATCACATCACATCACATCACATCACATCACATCACATCACATCACATCACATCACATCACTGCATCACATCACATCGGGATCCTGCCGTGGCCAATGATGAACCAAATCGCAAGCCATGTCGCTGCTTCCACCCTGGGAGACACGGCAAGGTGGAAGGGGGGTGGAAAGGAAAGGGGGGCAGAGAGAGCACGCCTCTTTCCTCCTCGTTCACCCTGGGCTGGGATTCACGCCAAGGTGGGGGGGGAGGGCGGGGGATGGAAAGGGAGGCAGAGAGAGCACGCTTCTTTCCTCCTCGTTCACCTCGCTCCTGCCGTGGCCGAACCCAAACACCACCAGCCACCTTGTCGCTGCTTCCACCCTGGGCTGGCTGGGAGACACGCCAAGGTGGGGGGGAGGGTGGGGGGTGAAGCGGAGAGGAGAGGGCGGCAGTGAGAGCACGCTTCTTTCCTCCTCGTTCACCCTGGGCTGGCTGGGAGACACGCCAAGGTGGGGGGAAGGGTGGAGGGGGAAGAGGAGGGGAGAGGGGGGCAGAGAGAGCTTATTTCATTCACCACGCTCCTCCTGTGCGCTCCTCCTGTGTGCTCCTCCTGTGCGCTCCTCCTGTGCGCTCCTCCTGTGTGCTCCTCCTGTGCGCTCCTCCTGTGCGCTCCTCCTGTGCGCTCCTCCTGTGGGCTCCTCCTGTGCGCTCCTCCTGTGCGCTCCTCCTGTGTGCTCCTCCTGTGCGCTCCTCCTGTGGGCTCCTCCTGTGCGCTCCTCCTGTGCGCTCCTCCTGTGGGCTCCTCCTGTGCGCTCCTCCTGTGCCAGGTGATAGACCGGCGGAACCAGGCGTGTCATTGTTTCCACCCTGAGATGTACGTTCTAAGGGAAGGGGGAAGGACAGGGGGAAGGACAGGGGGAAGAGCAGGGGGAAGGGCAGGGGGAAGGGCAGGGGGAAGGGCAGGGGGAAGGGCAGGGGGAAGAACAGGGAGAAGGGCAGGGGGAAGGACAGGGGGAATGACAGGGGAAAGGACAGGGGGAAGGACAGGGGGAGGGACAGGGGGAAGGACAGGGGAAAGGACAGGGGGAAGGACAGGGGGAGGGACAGGGGGAAGGTGCAGAGAGGGCACAATCCCATCGCATCGTATCGCCTATCATCGCCTCGTCGCCGCGCTCCTGCCGTGCCCAATGATGACCCGAAACACCAGCCTCGTCGCCGCTTCCACTCAACGATACGCCTCACATTGCCCCCACGCCATCACACCTCTACCCCATGCCCCCATGGAATGCCCATGTCCCCATGAATGGCCTACCGCGCGTGCTCCTCGGGCGTGGCGGGGAACCACGTGTCGCGAAGCAGCGAGCGCCTCTCGCGGCTGGAGAAATCGGTGAACACCCCGACGAGCCCCACCACGCGCTTCCTGCCCGGGTACTGCAACCGATCTGCACTCCTCTCCGCGTCAACCATCCCTCGCGGCGGTTCCGCTTCTTCCTTCCGTCGCGACAGTTCCGCTTCTTCCATCCATCGCGGCGCCGGTTCCGCTTCTTCCATCTTCCGCGGCGCGTCCGCTTCTTCCATCACCCCCAGGTCCGTCTCCGAGTCGCCCATGCTCCCTCGGAGGTCCGACAGCGGTCCGATCACGTCAATCATCGCCGCAACTCCGCCAACGGGCTTTAACTCGTCCTGCGAGTCGGATTCGATCGCCACCGTCCATGCGGGAGCGATGCAACTGTATCTGAGCACGAGGATATGTAACAGGAACAAGAGCGGGATGGTTACTAGGAGTAGGAAGAGGGACCAGGACACGCGCGACGACGACGCGAGCGGCACTCGCGGCGACTCGACGGACGGTTGATCTTTGAGGGTCATCAGCGGGTAGAACCAATGAAAGTTCTTTATTGAGTCATTCGCGAATATTTTATGAGGCGCCTCGAATACCATCAGTAGATAACCGCCGTCAGCGAACGGCCTTATTGAGGCTTTCACCGGGACAGACATTCTGAGAGCAAATGGATGGCTTGTCTGGCGAGCTCAGGGGTTGAGGCTATCATTTGGGAAAAATAGAAACAAAAGATTTGGACCTGAGCAGCCATATATCTGGAGCAGCGGCTGACGAGACGGACCCTCCTCGTCAGTCACTGCGGCCACCAACTCCCAAGACTCCATCGACGATGAGCACTTGCCGGCCAACGTCGTTAGTCCCCCCTGTGCATTGGGGATTGCGAGGGAGAAAGAATCGAGCTTGTCGAAAGTGGATATGGTCAAGCGATTAGGGAATTTGGAAGGTTTTCCAACAGTGATTGTGGTCAACAACACCGCAAATGTGTTCTGTGCTTGTGTGTGCGGATTGCGCTGCGCAGTCATGCCACACGGCGAGCTTGGTCTTCTCTCGTCTTCTCTAGCAAAACTTGAGAGGCGGAAAACGGGCGGAAGCCACGTTGTGCGAGAGAAATTGGCGAGATTTGCGGTCTCGCAAGCTGGTTTTCTGGAATTGGCTGAACCAAGGACAATAGGTTGACGAAAGCATACGACGGCTGTTAGCGAGAAAGAGAGGAGGGTGGAGGGGGAGGAGGGGGGAGTGGGGGGAGAGGGGGGAGTGGGGGGCAGAATGGGGAAAGGGAAGGGGGATAACGACCTGTTGTGACCCACACGGATTGGGTCGACCACCCCCCGATCCATCAATTCTAGGAAGGCTGCAACTCGGGTCTAGCCGACCAGGTCGAGCCAACCAGACCCGGTTGGGTCTGCCTGACCTGGGTCGACCAGGTCGGCTCAACCAGGCCAACCCAATCGAGCTGGAGGGTTACCATAGTCTGCGAACTTCAGAGTTCTCGTGCAAATGTCGCTTCAAATTCGCCGCACAGAATGATACCCTATAATATCGATGCGAATTTTCCAGCTCACCATCCCCCCGCCCGGCAACTGCTTTCCTGGTCCCTTGAGGATGCACGGAAATCGACGGGAAATTCCGTAATTTCCCGAGTCGCGTTTCCGAAGATCTGGTCGGGTTGGGTTTAGCCGACCAGGTCGAGCCGACCCAACCCGATCTCTTAGGGTCGCAACACGTCGTAAAACAACGCACGTGCGATGGATATAACAACGCAAGTTTCGTACACGGGACGAAGCTCCTCGACCGTGCGATGCGAACACGACAGTCCCGAATTAGCTCCTCTTTAAGCTTCGGAGCTTATATTGGGCTGGAATGGGGCGTATATCCTTACAAACAAGGCATGCTACATCATGTAAACAATTCACATATTTTTTTCTGTTCCCTTCTCCCAGCAAGGCATGCAGACAGCACGGGGCGGTCGGGCATCCCCCGCACAGCCACAACGGACGGCATAAACATTTATGGAGAAACCCCCAGCTCGTGTGGTAACCCTGGATATACACGATTCAATCGATCACAGCACAGCAACAGCAGCAGAAGATAAATGACATACACACTTGCTTTCTGTGTGCATCTCTTGAATCAATCACACAAGGGTTAAAATGTGTGTGTCCCAGAGCACGCGGGGTTTCGATGAAGCTCCTTCATCTGCACATACGGCCGGCAGAGGCCGGCACAGATTGGCTCCCAGAGAGCCACAGCAGAGGGCGTGCAGTTCTTCTGACAGAGAGCATATGACTTCTCATGTTGCACGTCGAAGGCAAGCATCCACGCTCCCACTGACACATCCTCGTTTGTGAACATGCTCAGCCTGCAATCAGGAGAGTAAGGAGACCAAGAGATGGGATAACAGCACTTTCTTGCAGAGCACGTACTGAGTAGTATTTCTGAGAGAGACGCGATTCAGAATTCCTTGGCAGCATTCCTTCCACGTGCTGCAAAGGAGTAGAGAGGGTGTTTTTGAGACGTCGCGAAAACACCCTCTCTACATGTGTATTTTTTAGTGAGACGCAAATCAGCATTCCTTGGCAGCATCCCTTGGCAGCATTCCTTCCACGTGCTGCAAAGAAGTACCTTCGCAGCTAAGCACCTACCTGTTGAGTGCATTTGCTGCAAAGCACACACATCCCACCCCATTGCAAGATAAGCACGGCCCTCCTGGTTATAAGGCAGGCATGGCTCAGCCACCCTTGGGAACAAAATTAAGGGTGTTAATCACAGGAAATAACAGCATGCATGTTTCACCCGTCCTCGGGGATTGCGGTGAGAACATTGATCATGTCGTACGGGAGCAAGTAGGGTGCATTGGCAGTCAACCACACACATCCCACCTCATCACACGATAAGCAAAGCCCTCCTTGTTACAAGGCATGCATAACTCACCAACTCTTGGGAACGAAGTTGAGAAGGCTGGACATGCATGCTTGGCTCGGTAGATATAAGCATGCATTTCGAAATCACTTTCGAGAATTCTCAGAAGTGATTTCAATATAGAAGGCTGAAAATGCATGCTTGACTCGGTAGATATAAGCATGCATTTCGAAATCACTTTTGAGAATTCTCAAAAGTGATTTCAATATAGAAGGCTGAAAATGCATGCTTGACTCGGTAGATATAAGCATGCATTTCCCACTCACCCGTCGTCGGGGATGGCATTGAGAATGTTGACGACATCGTAGGAGAGCAGGTAGATGGCTCCGAACGCATGCAGCAGATACCATGCACTGCCCCCCCGTTGCACGACCAATGCAAGACAAGCACGACTCACCCGTCGTCGGGGATGGCGTTGAGAATGTTGACCACGTCGTAGGAGAGGGCGTAGATGGCTCCGAAGGCATGCATGAAGTAGTGCGACCCCAGCAGCCACGACTTGCGCTCATACCTGTGCGGAACAGAACACAAGAGAACAAACACAGGAACATGACTTTTGAGACGTCTCAAAAGAACTCATGCATGAAATAGTGCGACCCCAGGCCCAGAAGCCACGACTTGCGCTCATACCTGCAAAGAACAGAACACGAGAAAACAGAAACATTGAGATGTGAGGATTGAGTAGGAGAAGAGCAGTTAGCAGGATAGGGATAGGTTGTCGCATTGTTCACAAGACAGCTCAAGGGAACAGCAGGACCGTTCCTCTGGCTCCGAATGCGTAACAAGACAAGCACAACACATTCGGATCATTACGACGGCCTGACTGGTTCAGAAACTGAGTATAGTGTATGCTGCTTGGATTGAGAAAAATGCCCAAAGGAGTGCGGGAGAGAGAGCAATTAGGTGTAATATGCGTGACAAGACAAGCACAACACATTCGGAACATTACGACGGCCTGACTGGTTCAGAAATTTAGTATAGTGTATGCTGCCTGGATTGAGAAAAATGCCCAAAGGAGTGCGGGAGAGAGAGCAACTAGGTGTAATATGCGTGACAAGACAAGCACAACACATTCGGAACATTACGACGGCCTGACTGGTTCAGAAACTGAGTATAGTGTATGCTGCTTGGATTGAGAAAAATGCCTAAAGCAGTCCCAGAGAGAGCAAACTAGGTGTAATATGGCAACTCACCACTTCATATCAGGGTTAGTGCCCACAGTTCCCCTCTTCATGCATCCAATGTAGGTTCGAGATGAGTTCCTTGGCCTGGCGATCAGAGAGGAGAGGCGGTCTGCAGGGTTGAACAGAAACAGGCAGCAGGTAGGGAGGGAGGGAGTGGCACCCGTGAGAGAGGAGAGGCGGTCTGCAGAGAGGAGAGGCGGTCTGCAGAGAGGAGAGGCGGTCTGCAGAGAGGAGAGGCGGTCTGCAGAGAGGAGAGGCGGTCTGCAGAGAGGAGAGGCGGTCTGCAGGGTTGAACAGAAACAGGCAGCAGGCAGGCAGGGAGGGAGTGGCAGTCGTGAGAGAAAGGACTTTCAATGTGGCAAGCAACATGGGATCCTCATCACACCTTCTTCAGAAATATAAAAATGATAAGAAAACTTACACGTAATAATAGATACTCCGCAGCACAGAATGCCTTCACTCACATACCCAAGCGCTACGTGGGTGGGCTCAAATGGATGTCCCCATCTGGCTGACACTACATAGAATCATGTTTCAGAGCGCTTGAGTTTTGAGACGTCATAAAACCCGGCCATACAGGGCCCTGGGAGGTGTAAGATGGGCGCACCTGGTATGAGGTAGATGTCGTCGTCTGCCTTGACGTAGAACTCAACTTCATAGAGCTTGAAGAGAGTCGTGAAGTACACGAGACTGGGGGATGGGGGATGGGGGAGAGGAGGGCAGGAGGGGACAGGAGCGAGGAGAACTTGAAGAGTGTAGTGAAGTACACGAGACTGGGGGATGGGAGATAGGAAATCACGGGAACAAGTGAAGTAATGAGTCAGGAGAGATTAACAGTCTGAAAGGTACAAGGAAGGTGAAAGGAAGGTACATGCATTGGCAGCTTCACGTGAGGAAGAAGCATAACAACACCGCATCACCTCATGCTGTCAGCAAAAGGAGCCCCTCACGGCGCCATCATGCGAGCCCCTCACATCGCCATCATGCGAGCCCCTCACATCGCCATCATGCGAGCCCCTCACATCGCCATCATGCGAGCCCCTCACATCGCCATCATGCGAGCCCCTCACATCGCCATCATGCGAGCCCCTCACATCGCCATCATGCGAGCCCCTCACATCGCCATCATGCGAGCCCCTCACATCGCCATCATGCGAGCCCCTCACGGCGCCATCATGCGAGCCCCTCACATCGCCATCATGCGAGCCCCTCTCATCGCCATCATGCAAGCCCCTCTCATCGCCATCATGCGAGCCCCTCTCATCGCCATCATGCGAGCCCCTCTCATCGCCATCACTCAACGACCCTCTCACATCGCGAAGAAGAAGCATAACATCGCCATCCATTTCGCGATCGCGCGAGCCGCTTACGTCTTGCGGTTGAGATTGAGGTACGACTCTTGCACGTCGATGCGAAGGAAGTCCCCGTGAGTGCTGTTCTCCGCCTGCAGCATCTCCTCGTCCTCCACGCTCCTCCCATGCCCGACTATGAACCGAAACACCAGGCCCAATGTTGCTTCCGCGCTGGGGAATAAGCGAATGGCGGAGGACGTGGAGGGGGAAAGGGGAGCAGGGAGGGCACGGCTCATATCACACTCCTCCGCGTCTCCATGCCCGACTATGAAGCGAAACACCAGGCCAAGTGTTGCTTCCGCGCTGGAGATTAATGCATGGAGGGAGAGGGGGCGGTGGAGGGGGAGGTGGAGGGGGAATGGGTTGCAGAGAGTCCACACATCATAACAACCAGAACACCAAGCCCAATGTTGCTTCGGTCCTGGGAATAAGCAAATGGCGGAGGGAGGACGTGGAGGGGGAAAGGGGTGCAGGGAGGGCACAGCTCATATCACACTTAGACTCGATTTTTCATTGTTTTCTGCAATTGAAAATCGTGCGATGTGCTTCCACACCCAGAACTGCGCTCGAGGGGGGGGAAGGTGAAGAGAGCGTGCACATCACATCCCATCCCATCCCATCACATCCCATCCCCCTCCCCTCCCCTCCCCTCCCCTCCCCTCCCCTCCCCTCCCCTCCCCTCCCATCCCATCCCATCGCATCCCATCCCATCCCATCCCATCCCATCCCATCCCATCCCATCCCATCCCATCCCATCCCATCCCATCCCATCCCATCCCATCCCATCCCATCCCATCCTCATCCCATCCCATCCCATCCCATCCCATCCCATCCCATCCCATCCCATCCCAGCGCATCCCATCGCATCCCAGCGCACCCACGCCATGGCCCCACGGGCATACCCCGCGTGCCCCAATGCCATGCCCCTATGAACGGCCTACCGCGCGTGCTCCTCGGGCGTGGCGGGGAACCACGTCTCGCGAAGCAACGCGCGCCTCCTGCCGTTTTTGAAACCGGTGTGAACCCCGACGAACCCCTTCACGCGCTTCCTGCCCGGGTATCGCAACCGATCTGCACCCCTCTCGTCCATCCCTCGCATGTCCGCCTCGTCTATCGCTCGCGGGTCCGCCTCTTCGATGATCTCCCCCCGGTCCGGCTTTTGAGTCGACTCAGAAATCCCTCGCGGGTCCACCTCGTCGATCTCCCCCGGGTCCGCCTCTTCGATGATCCCGAGGTTCGCCTCGCCCATTTCTCGCACGTCCGCCGCCTCGCCCATTTCTCGCACGTCCGCCGCCTCGCCCATTTCTCGCACGTTCGCCGCCTCGCTCATTTCTCGCACGTCCGCCACCTCGCTCATTTCTCGCACGTCCGCCGCCTCGTCCATCCCTTGCGGGTCCGCGCCGGCCAACGGTCCGATCTCATCGGTTGCTTCATCCGGCGCCGGCGGCTTTTGAGACGTCTCATAACTTGCTTCAACCGGCGGCGGCGCCGGCTTTTGAGACGTCTCAAAACTTGCTTCAACCAGCGGCGGCGCCGGCTTTAACTCCGAGTCGGATTTACTACTATTCAAGAGGCTCTTCCATGACGGGGACGCGCCGAATCCGGCGAACGAGCAACTGTATCTTATAACGAGGACATCTGCAAGGGCGAAGAGCGCGACGGCTAGGAGTAGGAAGAGGGACCAGGACACGCCGCGCCATGATGACGTCAGCACGCGCGGCGGCGCGGTGACGGACTTGCGACCCTTGAAGCTCATGAGCTGGTAAACCCAAGGAACGGCGCCGGTTTTACTGTTCTTTCACGGAATATCGGGACCGACTTTTTCTGGGAGCAAATCGAGGGCTACCATGGCGAAGTAATTTCAGGCTGAGGTTATCGTTTTGGGGAAACAAGACGCTCTGTTCTGTTCCCGCTGAGCGAGCACTGCCATGGGTTTGCCTTTGCTCATATTGCTGCCAGGCGGTGACCGTCTTCCACTCCCACACCCCATCGACGATGTGCCCGTGTTGGACAATGTCGGTCCCTACGCAGCAGCGTCGATCGATGTCTTGCGGTCAACTGACCATGGGCAGACTAGAACACCAATCGCGGGAATGCGGTGCACGCGCCAGGCGAACACCACCTGCATGGGGTTCCTTGTCTTTGCCCACGGGTAGCTGACGGGAAGTCTTGATACCCGACTACTAATTCCCTGAGTTCTACAGTGTCGTATCTGTCGTACGTGTGAGTGCGTCAACTTTACGAGAGCTGAATCCGGCGCACATCGTCAGGAATGAGAAAGCTGCACTCGATGTTGGCAGTGATTGGTGCCACCGCATCCCACCACGCCTGGTGTTATATGAGTAAGCTCAAAACGCATTCCACCACGTCTTCACCTGTGCCGGCCGCCATCAAGAAGATTGGTTCCAGCCCGAACCTGATTTTTGTTTACACGATATAGGATCGCAGGGCACATGTCTGTTGATATGATTGGTGTAATGAGCTTAGGTATATGATAGGAGTATAGTTGGTAAGACTATTGGGCTTATAATGTTTCTCCTCTTTACAATGGTTACCTACGAAGAAAACCTGCCGATATAGGATACCTAACCCCACACAAGCTACCCAGGGATCTTCACTGGGGGGGGGGTAGAGTCTTTAACTGGAAAATTATATACATATTTGGGTTTTAAGGTTACATATGGGAAAAATGAACAGTGTATCTGGTGGATGATCATCCAATTGTTACCGTAAGGCCCCGGATATACGCACCCAGCAGACAAGCCAAACCAGGGTTCGTTCTTGCAAGATGATCTCGCAATCTTGCGAACAATTACCCAACCGAAACGAGTGACCGTGATGTACTCGGGCTTTGCATTGGAAGCTTCCCCACGCAAGCAGGGTTTTCATGTAGCTCCTTCATTCGCACATCAGGGTTGCAGACGCCAGAACATCTGAAATCCCAGATAGCCACAGCAGTGGGAGTGCATACTATCTGGCAGAGAGATGGCGCTTTCTGATGCGACACGTTAAAGGCGAGCATCCATGCTCCCACACTCGCATCCTCGTTCACAAACATCCTCAGCCTGCGAGGATAAGAGTTGGTACAGTAACAGAAACAGAGATCGGAGAGCAAGAGTTGGGCTTAGTACAGAGGTTGTACTGAATCGTATGGTATCTGTCAGGGTTTAATGCCTTCCTGTTGAATGTATTGACTGCCGACCAGTCACATCCCACTTCGTTGCAAGATAAGCACGGCACTCCTCGTGACAAGGCATGCACGGCTCACCTCACCCACCCTTGGGAATGGAGTTGAAAACATTGGCAATGCATGACTCAGAAATCTAGAGAAATCTAGAGAAATCTCAGCAATCGAGAGAAATCTCACTAGTTTTATTAGGGGGAGGGAAGTTGAGGAGTTTAACCACGTCATGCGAGAGGAGATAGATGGGACCGTCCGTCGGCATGCAAGGAATAACTTTTGAGAATTCTCAAAAGTGATTTCAATATATCCGTCGGCATGCAAGGACTACCATGCACTGCTCACCTGGTTGCAAGACAAGAGCAACTCACCAGCCCTTGGGGAGGAAACTGAGAATCTTGACCGCGTCGTACGAGAGGGAGTAGATGGAACCGGACGCATACTTGAAATACTCCGGCCCTAGCAGCTGTGAAAAGTTTAGAAGAGAGAAGAGGATTGCACTAGCAAGAATGAGGATACAAATAGCAAACCCTAGAAGGGTTGTACTCGCTATAGAGCACCCAATGAGAAGATGAGAACGAGAATGAATGAACTATGAAACAGTTGGGTACAAGTACTAACCCTAATTGGGTTGTACCCCATATGGGCTACCCCACTACAGCCTACACAAAAGCATAAGCTATAATGTTCTGACACCCCACTACAGGCTAGAGCATAAGATAACATTCTGACAGCAGCCACGCCTGGGGCTCAAACCTGCGCAGCAAAACAGAATTAGGAAGAGGTGAATAACGAGTACGAGAACAGCGGTGAGCAGGTTAAGGATACGTTGTTGCATTTTTTGCGAGATAACTCACGAGAACAGCATGAGAGGTTGCCCAGACTGGGTGAATATAAAAACGTTGAGAAATGCGCAGAGGTGTCCACCATAACCCTAAATTCTTTTGAGACGTCTCAAAAGATGCCCAGATGTTGTCAGAATCCCAACCACTAGACCATTGGGATAAAAGGGCTTGTTTCAGTAGCAGGTCAGTGCGCCCATAACCCCCCAGGCGAACGCGCCTGTAACCCTCTCCAGGATCAATCGGGCATCCACACTGCAGATCTACTGACACCCCCCCACACTGGGAGGCCCAGGACTATGCACAGCGGCACCGGCCTACATGTGTATACACCGGGATTCGAACTCGAGACCGCTCTGATACCATGTCACAATCCCAACCACTAGACCATTGGGATAAAGGGCTTGTTTCAGTAGCGGGTCAGTGCGCCCATAACCCCCCAGGCGAACGCGCCTGTACCCTCTCCAGGATCAATCTGGCATCCACAGTGCAGATCTACTAACAGAGGTGTCCACCACAACCCTAAATTCGGAAAACTAGGAGCATTCGACTGCTTCAAAATCGAATGTACACCGTATAACACTACGTACACTGTATGCCGTATGGACCAATTAAGAGAGCAGCCAAAAGGAGTGCCAGCGAGCGTGACCTAGGTGTAATACGGCAACTCACCACTTCTTCTTGGGGTTAGTAATCACAATTCCCCTTTGGAAGCATCCAATGTACGTTCGAGATGACTCTCTTGGCTTGGCGATCAGAGAAGAGAGGCGGTCTGCAGGGAAAAACAGAATCAGGAAGCAAAAAGTGGGACTCGCGTGAGCGAGGACGTTCAATGTTGCCAGCAACATATGACGATCCAAGCTGCGTTCGAGGTGACTCCCTTGGCGTGGCGATTAGAGAAGAGAGACGGTCTGCAGGGATGAGCAGAAACAGCGAGCAAAGGGTGGGATGGTGTGAGCAAGGGCTCTCAGTGGCGCCAGCAATGTATGATCCTCATCATCAGAGCATGAGCGCACCACATCACATGCCGCGCGTATAATCCTCATCATCAGAGCATGAGCGCACCACATCACATGCCGCGTGTATAATCCTCATCATCAGAGCATGAGCGCACCACATCACATGCCGCGTGTATAATCCTCATCATCAGAGTATAAGCGCACCACATCACATGCCGCGTGTATAATCCTCATCATCAGAGTATAAGCGCACCACATCACATGCCGCGTGTATAATCCTCATCATCAGAGTATAAGCGTACCACATCACATGCCGCGTGTATAATCCTCATCATCAGAGTATAAGCGCAACACATCACATGCCGCGTGTATAGTCCTCATCATCAGAGTATAAGCGCACCACATCACATGCCGCGTATATAATCCTCATCATCAGAGTATAAGCGCACCACATCACATGCCGCATGTATAATCCTCATCATCAGAGTATAAGCGCACCACATCACATGCCGCGTGTATAATCCTCATCATCAGAGTATAAGCGCACCACATTACATGCCTGTCAGATTTATATGACATAGCTGTTGTAGGCTATAGTGGGGTAGCACATATGGGGTACGACTTTCTAGGGTTTGTACTTGTACCCAACTTTCCCTTAGTAAATTCATTCTCGTTCATTTTCTCATGGTATCGAGCAGGTTCCCCTGTGGGAACTGTTCCTAGGGCCCACCACCTTTTTTTCCTGCCCGGAGCGCGCTCTACTCTGCCCGAGTCGCGCTCCCCTCTTTCGACCCTGTCGCGCCGCCTTAGCGGCCCCGTCGCGTCGCGCTTGCAACCCCGTCAAGTCGCGCCGCCCTAGCGGCCGCGTCGCGCCGCCCTCGCGGCCCCGTCGCGCCGCCCTCGCGGCTCCGTCGCGTCGCGCCGCCCTCGCGGCCCGTTCGCGCCGCCCCAGTGCCCTTTCGTGCCGCCCTCGCGGCCTCTTCAAGCCGCCCTCGCGACCCCCCCTCCTAGCCGCCCTAGCGGCCCCGTCGCCTACCCTTGCGGCCCCGGCACCGCCCTTTCCGGCCCCGGCGCCGCCCTTCCCCGCCTCGGCGCCGCCTCTGCTGGCCCTGTCGCCTACCCTGCGGCCCCGGCGCCTACCCTTCGGCCCCGGCGCCTACCCTGCGGCCCCGTCGCCTACCCTGCGGCCCCGGCGCCTACCTTGCGGCACCGGCGCCTACCCTGCGGCCCCGTCGCCTACCCTGCGGCCCCGTCGCCTACCCTGCGGCCCCGACGCCTACCCTGCGGCCCCGTCGCCTACCCTGCGTCCCCATTGCCTTCCTTGCGGCCCCGGCGCCTACCCTGCGGCCCCGGCGCCTACCCTGCGGGCCCGGCGCCTACCCTACGGCCCCGGCGCTACCCTTCCCGGCCCAAGCGCCGCCTCTACCGGCCCCGCCGCCGTCCCCACGCGGCCCCGCCGTCACCACCGAGCCGCCGGCGCCGCCGAGCTACTACCGGGCCGCCCGAGCCACCCGAGCCGCCCGAGCCGCCGCGCCACCTGAGCCACCCGAGCCGCCGTGTCGCCGAGCTACCGAGCCGCCGTACCGCCGAGCCGCCCGAGCCGCCGGAGCCGCCGAGTCGCCGAGCCGCAGTTGCTGCCGAGCCGCCGTACAGCCGAGTGGCCAGAGCCGCCGAGCCGCCAAGCCGCCCGAGCCGCCCTGTCCGGTAAGAGCAGCGCCTCTATCACTGCACTGCCCTTACCCTACTGTTCTCGCTGCTAGTCTACTGCTGTCATTGCTACCCCTAGTGTCCTCGCTTTTGACGCTGAGGGTCGGGCCATTGACTTTGACGTCTGGGTAGATGACCTGCAGCTTTTCCTACAGTGCGATAGGGCAGACGGTCTCTCCCTCTTTGACCTCACTTCTGGTGCCTCTCCTGCCCCTGCTGCTGATGCTGACGCCACTGTTCGCTCACAGTGGGCCACACGTGATGCTGCTGCACGTCTTGCTGTGCGTCGCCACCTGCCTACCTCTGAGCGTGCACACTTTAGCCAGTACAAGAGTGCTCAGACCTTGTACGACGCTGTAGTTGCACGCTACTCCTCCCCTGCCACTGCTGCACTGAGCCGCCCTACCGTACCTCTTCCCTGACCTTGCTGCCTTTCCCACAGTCGCTGACCTCATTACGCACCTCCGCACTAGTGACACTCGCTACCGCGCTGCGCTTCGTGCCGAGTTCTGCGCCAAGAACCCCCCCCCCCCCCCCCATGTACATCACCCTCTACTACATAGTCACTCGGCTCCCAGACTCTCTCCGCGTAGTTAGGGACCACTTCCTCTCAGTTTGCCCCACCACTCTCACCGTTGACCTCCTCGAGAAGGCCCTCCTAGCGGCAGAGAAGAGCATAGTCGCTGTAGGAGCCTCTCGTGGTGACCCTCGCACCCCCATCTTTGAGGGGTGTTCCCCCTCCCGCCTTTTGCCCTCTGTTGCCTCTTCTGCTGCGGCCGACCTCGTTGGTTTTGAGTCGGTCGGCGCTGCGTCTGCTCCGAGCGGGAGACGCCGCACCGGCAAGGGCAAGGGGGGCAAGGGCGCTGGAGGGGCTGGAGGGGGTGGCGGAGGTGGCGGTGGCGGCAGTGGAGGGGGTGGGGGTGGTGGTGGGAGTGGTGGCGGGGGTGGAAGTGTCGGTGGCGGCAGTGGAGGCGGAGGCGGAGGCGGCGGTGGGGGTGGGGGCGGAGGTGGCGGAGGTGGCGGCGGAGGAGGAGGCGGCGACGGAGGCGGCGGAGCTGGTCGGGGTGGCGCTGCGCAGAGGGTCGGCTCCGGTGGTGGTCAGCGCCAGCAGCAGCAGCGCACTCGTGACATTCCCCCCCCTTAGCAGCTCCGTGAGTGGTACGCTGCACGCCAGCGGGGTGGGGGTACTGGTCCGTGCACCTACGTTCTACGCACCGGCGACCGCGCGGGTGAGCAGTGCGGGGGTGCGCACTCCACCCAGCGCTGCTTTGGCCGCCTTACGGACGCTTGGCGTCACCAGTTCCTTGAGGCCACTGAGATCCCTCGCTGGGGCGAGCTGTCTAGGGCGGGAGTAGCTATCTTTAACCTTGACTTTGATGCTATTCTCACTTCCATGTATGCTGTGACTATTAGTGATGAGGGTGACTGTTACCAGTGCTTTCCGCCCGACCCGGGCATTGAGACTGCTGCTCTAGGTACTGGTGAGGCTGCTGCTCTAGGTGCTAGCGAGGCTGTTGCTCTAGGTGCCAGTGCGTCTGCTTCCTCAGGTGCTGGTGAGTCTGCTCTCTCAGGTACCGCGTCGGCTTCGGCCTCCCACACCTTCACCCTTGACTCGGGGGCTTCTCGCTCCTTCTTTCGAGACCGCACCACACTCACGCCGCTTGGTCGGCCAGTTGCAGTCTCTCTGGCAGACCCCTCTGGGGGTCCTGTCCTTGCTCACTTCTCCACTGTCCTCCCGTGTCCGGCGGCCCCCTCTGGCACCCTGTCTGGTCTTTACCTCCCCTCGTTCTCTACGAACTTGGTGAGTGGTGCTGACCTACAGGATGCGGGGGTTCACCAGTTCACTCCTGTGAGTCAGCGGGTGACCCACTGCACGGACGCTCGGACAGGCCGACACCTGGCCACGTTTACACGTCGGCCGGGGTCGAGCCTGTACACACTGACCAGTGAGTCTCCTCCTGTCACTGCGCCTAGTCAGGTAGCTGCATCGGGTCAGGTGCTTGCTGCAGCGTCCAGGTCTGGTCCTGAGTCTGCCCCCTGCTCGTGTCGCCTCCTGTCTCACGAGACTCTCCTCTGGCACCACCGCCTTGGCCACCCCTCCCTGCTTCGTCTCCAAGGCATGGCCTCCCGTGTCCTTGTCTCTGGTCTTCCCCGGTCCCTCCCTCCCCTTCCCCCGGGGCCTGCCCCTGCCTGCGTCCCCTGCGTCGAGGGGCGGCAGTGTGCTGCCCCTCACTCCTCCCAGTTTCCTCTGACAAAGGCCCCGTTGCAGACACTTCACATGGACGTGTGGGGCCCAGCCCGCGTCCGTGGACAGGGTCACGAGCGCTACTTCCTGCTGGTGGTTGACGACTACTCGCGTTACACCACAGTCTTCCCCTTGTGCAGCAAGGGTGATGTCACTGAGGTGTTGATCGACTGGATCCGCGCAGCTCGTCTCCAGCTCAGGTAGAGCTTCGGCTCGGACTTTCCTGTTCTGCGTCTGCACTCTGACAGAGGCGGAGAGTTCTCCTCTGGGCTTCTGCGAGCCTACTGTCGTGCACGAGGCATACGCCAGAACTTCACGCTTCCGGACTCTCCACAGCAAAATGGGATTGCTGAGCGCCGCATTGGCATGGTCATGGACGTCGCCCGTACGTCCATGATGCATGCGGCTGCCCCCCATTTTCTGTGGCCGTTTGCGGTTCGGTACGCGGCGCATCAGATCAACCTTCAGCCTAGGGTCTCCATGCCGGAGACCTCCCCAGCTTTGCTGTGGACCGGGAAGGTTGGCGATGCGTCTGCGTTCCGTGTCTGGGGATCTCGGGCGTTTGTCCGCGACTTGTCTGCGGACAAACTGTCCCATCATGCTACTCCTTGCGTCTTCCTTGGCTTCCCCCCTAACGCGCCTGGGTGGCAGTTCCACCACCCCACCTCTCGCCGTGTTCTGTCCTCCCAGGACGTCACGTTTGACGAGTCGGTCCCCTACTACCGCCTCTTCCCCTACCGCATTCCGTCCCTCCCCCCGCCACCGCTCTTCCTTGTGCCAGGTCCCCCTCCGGTAGACCCCCTCCCCCCTCAGGGTCCTGCCCCTTCAGGTGTGTCCCAGGTAGACGCAGTCGAGCCTGTTGAGGTTGCTGGTGACTCTGGTGCTGCTGAGGGTGCTGAGCCTGGGGGTGCTGACTCTGGGGGTGCTGAGAGTGTGGGTGCTACGCCTGGGGGTACTGAGCCTGAGGGTGCTACTACTGGGGGTGCTGAGCCTAGGGGTGCTACGCCTGGGGGTGCTGAGTCTGGGGGTGCTACGACTGGGGGTGCTGAGCCTGGGGTTGCTACGCCTGGGGGTGCTGAGCCTGGGGGTGCTACGACTGGGGGTGCTGAGCCTGGGGGTGCTACGTCTGGAGGTGCTGAGCCTGGGGGTGCGGAGCCTTGGGGAGGTGGACCTGCTCGTGTTGCGGTACTGTGCCTGGAGGTTCTCCGGGTGCTTCGTCTCGGCGGGAGCCCCTCTCTCCACAGGAGCTGCGCGAGTAGTTTGCCCGGCGCTGGAGGCGTGCTGCTGGAACTGGAGGTTCTTCGACTACTGAGGGTGCTGGTGTCGCGGGTCCCGGAGGTGCTCGTACTGGGAGTACTGGAGCTGCTGGGCCTGCTGGTACGACGGGAGCTGGAGCAACTGCGGGTGTTGGCGCTAAGGCTACTGCTGTCGGTCATGGCGGCGGTCCTGCTGGGGGTGCTACTGGTACTGCTGGAGGTCCTGGAGCTACTGGAGCTGCTGGGGGTGCTGGAGCTGGAGGTGCTGCTGGCACTGGTGCTACCACTGGGGGTACTGGTCCCTGCTGTGTCTGGAGTCGCCGCGCGGCCTCGGCCGTACTTCGTTCCGCTCCTTCAGCAGGTTCTTAGTCTTCCGCCTTCTACTGGTCCTCCTCCTCCCTTTGAGTGTCCACAGCCTGTCCCGTCACAGTTCCAGCTACAGCCGGCCTCCCCACTGCCTGCTCCTTCTCCCTACACTGTTCCTACTGGAGGTCTTGCTGAGCGTCGTGAGCCTGAGTCTCGCCCTGCGTCGCCTGTCCGTCCTGCTCGCACTAGTGGTCGTGGTTCGCGTCAGCGTCCTCCTCCTGTCCCTGGCACGCACCGGATGTCTCTGCGTCCGTCCACTGCTCCTCTGTGTGCCCCTTTGCCTTCTCCTCCTGAGTCATCTCTTCCTGCTCTTGCCGACCCGGAGTCGGACTCTCTGCGTGCTGCCAGTCCTACTGTCACGCGTCTCCTTGCTACTGTCGTCACTGACCCTTCCTTTGAGTCCACTGCTGCGTCTGCCCTAGTTGCTGAGCTCGTCGACTTTGCTGCTCGCTGTCGTCTAGACTACGCTGCTAGTCTTGTCGCTGAGTCTGAGACTGTCTGTCCTCCGTCCGTCGGGGGTGAGTGTGCCCTTGGCACGGACGTCCTTGAGGACAGGCAGGAGGAGTTCCAGTGTTTGGCTGCTGCTTCACCTCATCTCGTGTCCGTACTGCTTACCCCTGAGGGAGACCCGGATGCACTTGACATCCCGACTCCGCGCTCTTACGCGGAGGCGATAGAGGGTCCCTACTCCTCTCAGTGGCAGGCAGCTATGGATACAGAGATGGCTTCCTGGAAGTCCACAGGCACCTACGTTGACGAGGTTCCCCCGCCTAGGGCGAACATCGTCAGTGGCATGTGGATTTTCAGGGTGAAGCGGCCGCCGAGTTCTCCGCCTGTCTTGAAGGCGCGTTACGTGGCTCGTGGCTTCAGTCAGCGGCAGGGAGTTGACTACTTTCAGACCTTCTCTCCCACCCCAAAGATGACCACTCTTTGGGTACTGCTGCACATAGCTGCTCACCGTAACTACGAGCTGCACTCTCTTGACTTCAGCACTGCTTTCTTGCAGGGCAGCCTGCACGAGGAGATCTGGCTGCGTCGCCCACCTGGCTTCACTGGGTCATTTCCTATTGGCACTTAATGGAGCCTCCGGCGGCTAGTCTACGGTCTCCGCCAGGCACCGCGTGAGAGGCACGACACACTGAGGAATACACTTGCGGCTCTTGGGTTTGCTCCCTCTACTGCCGACCCGTCGCTGTTTCTGCGCACCGACACCTCTTTGCCGCCGTTCTACATCCTCGTGTACGTCGACGACTTGGTCATTGCCACTGCTGACACTGCTGGACTCGTCCACGTGAAGTCCGAGCTGCAGAAGAGACACACGTGCATAGACCTGGGTGAACTGCGCAGCTACCTTGGCTTGCAGATCACCCGGGACAGAGCACAGCGCACCATTACCCTGACTCAGTCACACATGGTGCAGCAGGTCCTTCAGCGCTTCGACTTCACGTACTCCTCGCCTCAGGCCACTCCTCTGTCTACTCACCACTCGCTCTCAGCTCTGCCTTCGGATGAGTCCGTAGAGCCGAGTGGCCCGTACCCAAAGCTTGTTGGCTGCCTCATGTACCTGATGACCTGCACTCGACCTGACCTTGCATACCCTCTTAGCATCTTGGCACGCTATGTTGCTCCTGGGAGACACCGACCAGAGCACATGGCTGCAGCGAAGAGGGTGTTGCGCTACTTGTGCAGTACGTCAGGCATGGGGCTAGTGCTTGGAGGGCGACGTCCAGTGGTCCTCACAGGTCATGCAGACGCTTCTTGGGCTGACGACCAGGCTACGCAGCGCTCGTCACAGGGTTACACCTTCAGCCTCGGTTCCGGCTCTGTTTTGTGGTGGTCTACCCGCTCGTCTTCTGTTCTCGGCTCCAGCTGTAAGGCTGAGATCTACGCGGGGGCCATGGCTGCACAGGAGCTACGCTGGCTCACCTACCTGCTGACTGACCTAGGAGCGCCGCCTCGTTCTCCTCCAGTTCTGTACGTAGACAACAAGGCCATGCTGGCCTTGTGTCGGGAGCACAGACTTGAGCACAGAACGAAGCACATTGCTCTTAGCTACTTCCTTGCTCGTGAGCTACAGCAGCGTGGTTAGCTGCGCCTTGCTTACGTGGCCTCTGAGGCCAACACTGCTGATATCTTCACCAAGGCTCTTGCGCCTTGTGATCATCAGCGCTTCTGTACTCAGCTGGGTCTTGTGCCTGCCTTGCCTCACTTGCTCACCACTTGACCTTGTTTGTACTGTTACATATATATGTATACACCTGCTCTTGCTTGTCTAGCCTTATATATATATATGTGTGTAATCCTGCATATGAACTGGCCTTGTGGCCTTGAACTTGTGCTCGGAATGTGTGGTGACTTTGTGATCCACCCTGAGCTTGCTTTGCTTTGTTTGACTGGTCTTGTGACCCCTTGTTCTCCCCCACTTTGCCTATGAAGGTGTGTCAGATTTATATGACATAGCTGTTGTAGGCTATAGTGGGGTAGCACATATGGGGTACGACTTTCTAGGGTTTGTACTTGTACCCAACTTTCCCTTAGTAAATTCATTCTCGTTCATTTTCTCAATGCCGCGTGTATAATCCTCATCATCAGAGTATAAGCGCACCACATCACATGCCGCGTGTATAATCCTCATCATCAGAGTATAAGCGCACCACATCACATGCTGCGTGTATAATCCTCATCATCAAAGTATAAGCGCACCACATCACATGCCGCGTGTATAATCCTCATCATCAGAGTATGAGCGCACCACATCACATGCCGCGTGTATAATCCTAATCATCAGAGCATGAGTGCACCATATCACATGCCGCGTGTATAATCCTCATCATCAGAGTATAAGCGCACCACATCACATGCCGCGTGTATAATCCTCATCATCAGATTATAAGCGCACCACATCACATGCCGCGTGTATAATCCTCATCATCAGAGAATAAGCGCACCACATCACATGCCGCGTGTATAATCCTCATCATCGGAGTATGAGCGCACCACATCACATGCCGCGTGTATAATCCTCATCATCAGAGCATGAGTGCACCACATCACATGCCGCGTGTATAATCCTCATCATCAGAGCATGAGCGCACCACATCACATGCCGCGTGTATAATCCTCATCATCAGAGCATGAGCGCACCACATCACATGCCGCGTGTATAATCCTCATCATCAAAGCATGAGCGCACCACATCACATGCCTCGTGTATAATCCTCATCATCAGAGCATGAGCGCACCACATCACATGCCGCGTGTATAATCCTCATCATCAGAGCATGAGCGCATCACATCACATGCTGCGTGTATAATCCTCATCATCAGAGCATGAGCGCACCACATCACATGCCGCGTGTATAATCCTCATCATCAGAGTATAAGCGCACCACATCACATGCCGTGTGTATAATTCTCATCATCAGAGCATAAGCGCACCACATCACATGCCGCGTGTATAATCCTCATCATCAGAGTATGAGCGCACCACATCACATGCCGCGTGTATAATCCTCATCATCAGAGCATGAGCGCACCACATCACATGCCGCGTGTATAATTCTCATCATCAGAGCATGAGTGTCAGGCATATATGCTTTAGTCTGTGTAGGCTGTAGTGGGGCAGTTCATATGGGGTACAACACTTTAGGGTTTACTACTTGTACTCCTCATTCTGCTCAATGCATTCATTCCTCGTTTCTCATCATGGTATCGAGCAGGTTCCCTAGTGGGAACGATTCCTAGGGCCCACCACGATATTTTTTTTCCTGCCCGGAGCGCGCTTCGCTCCTGCCCGAGTCGCGCTCTGTGTGCCCTCCCTACCGTCACGCCCTCTCACGGCCCCTTTGCGTCGCCTTTAGCGGCCCCTCTCACGGCCCCTTACGCTGCCCTTTACGGCCCCTCGCGCCGCCCTCTACGGCCCCTCGCGCCGCCCTTACGGTCCCTTACGGCCCCCCCGCGACGCCAGTCGGCTCCCCTCGCGGCGCCCTTACGGCCCCTTACGGCCTCGTCGCCGCCCCGTCTAGGCCCCTTACGGCCCCGTCGCCGCCCCGTCTAGGCCCCTTACGGCCCCGTCGCCGCCCTGTCTGGGCCCCTTACGGCCCAGTAACGGCCCCGTCTAGGCCCCTTGCGGCCCCTTTTCGGCCCCGTCTAGGCCCCGTGCGGCCCCCTCTGCGGCCCCGTTGCGGCCCCTTGCTGCCCCTCTGCAGCCCCGTCGCCGCCACCTGCGGCCCCGTCGCCGTCACCTGCGGCCCCGTCGCCGTCACCTGCGGCCACCCCGCCGCCACCTGCGGCCCCGTCGCCACCACCTGCGGCCCCGTCGCCACCAACTGCGGCCACGCAGTTGCCACCTACAGCCTCGCCGCCACCTGCGGCCCCGTCCCCGTCACCTGCGGCCCCGTCGCCGTCACCTGCGGCCCCGTCGCCCTTCCCTAGCGACCACGTCGCCGCCCCTACCGGCCCTGTCACCGCTCAGCCCCCCATCGAGCGAGCCGCCGAGCAGCCCAGCAGCCGAGCCGCCCACCTACCGAGCAGCCGAGCCGCCCTGCAGCCGAGCCGCCCAGCAGCCGAGCAGCCCACCTGCCGAGCAGCTGAGCCGCCCAGCAGCCGAGCCGCCCAGCAGCCGAGCCGCCGAGCAGCCGAGCCGCCCACCAGCCGAGCCGCCGAGCAGCCGAGCCGCCCAGCAGCCGAGCCGCCCAGCCGCCGAGCCGCCGAGCCGCCCTACTGTCGATCCGCTGCTGTTCCTACTGGTGAGCTAACTCCCTACTAGGCCACTGCAGTCATGGCTACCCCCAGTGTCCTTACTTTTGATGCTGAGGGCCGTGCCGTTGACTTTGAGGTCTGGGTCGATGACCTCCAGCTGTTCCTACAGTGCGAAAGGGCAGACGACCTCTCTCTGTTCGACCTCACCTCTGGTGCCTCCCCTGCCCCGCCTGCTACTGCTGACAGCACTGTTCGCTCACAGTGGGCGACACGCGATGCTGCTGCCCGTCTTGCTGTGCGTCGCCACTTACCGACCACTGAGCGTGCACACTTTAGCCAGTACAAGAGTGCTCAGACCTTGTACGACGCTGTAGTTGCACGCTACTCTTCCCCTGCCACTGCTGCACTGAGCCGCCTCATGCTACCGTACCTCTTCCCTGACCTTGCTGCCTTTCCCACACACGCTGACCTCATTACGCACCTCCGCACTAGTGACACTCGCTACCGCGCTGCGCTTCCTGCTGAATTCTGCGCCAAGAACCCCCCCCCCCCCCCCCCCCCCCCCCCATGTACATCACCCTCTACTATATAGTCACCCGGCTCCCTGACTCTCTCCGCGTAGTCAGGGACCACTTCCTTTCGGTTTGCCCCACCACTCTCACCGTTGACCTCCTCGAGAAGAGCCTCCTAGCAGCAGAGAAAAGCATAGTCGCTGTAGGAGCCTCTCGTGGTGACCCTCGCACCCCCGTCTTTGAGGGGTGTTCCCCCTCACCCCTCTTGCCCTCTGTTGCTTCTGCTGCTGCGGCCGACCTCGTTGGTTTCAAGTCGGTCGGCGCTGCGTCTGCCCCTAGCGGGAGACGCCGCACCGGCAAGGGCAAGGGGGCAAGGGCGCTGGAGGGGCTGGCGGGGGCGGTGGAGGTGGTGGTGGAGGAAGTGGCGGGGGTGGGGGTGGTGGTGGGAGTGGTGGCGGGGGTGGCGGCGGCGGCGGCAGCAGTGGAGGCGGAGGAGGCGGCGGTGGTGGCGGAGGAAGCGGAGGCGGCGGAGGTGGCGGAGGAGGCGGAGGTGGAGGAGGCGGCGGAGGCGGCGGCGGCGGCGGCGGTGGTGGAGCAGGTCGCGACTCTGCGCAGAGGAGTGGGTCAGGAGGTGGTCCGCGCCAGCAGCAGCGGAGTGGTGTGACTCTGTCCCCTCAGCAGCTTCGTGAGTGGTACGCTGCGCGTCAGCACGGTGGGGGTGCTGGTCCCTGCACTTACGTCCTCCGTACCGGCGACCGAGCTGGTGAGCAGTGCGGGGGCCCGCACTCCACCCAGCGCTGCTTCGGTCGCCTGACGGACGCGTGGCGTCGACAGTTCCCTGAGGCGTCAGAGATCCCTCGCTGGGGAGATCTGTCTAGGGCGGGGGTTGCCATCATTGATCTTGACTATGATGCTATCCTTGCTGAAATGTATTCTGTGTCTACTAGTGTTGAGGGTGACTGTTACCTGTATGTACCGCCTGACCCGGGCATTGAGGCCACTGCTCTAGGTGCTGGTGAGACTGCTGCTCTAGGTGCTAGTGCGTCTGCTGCCCCAGGTGCTAGTGCGTCTGCTGCCCCAGGTGCTGGTGAGTCTGCTCTCTCAGGTACTACGTCGGCTCAGGCCTTACACACCTTCACCCTTGACTCGGGTGCGTCCCGCTCCTTCTTTCGAGACCGCACCACTCTTACGCCGCTCAGTCGGCCGGTTGCAGTCTCCCTGGCGGACCCCTCTGGGGGTCCTGTCCTTGCTAGCTTCTCCACTGTCTTACCGTGCCCGGCAGCCCCCTCTGGCACCCTGTCAGGTCTCTACCTCCCCTCGTTCTCTACGAACTTGGTGAGTGGAGCGGACCTACATGATAGGGGGGTTGACCAGTTCACTCCTGTGAGTCAGCGGGTGACCCACTGCACGTGTGCTCGGACAGGCCGACACTTGGCCACGTTAACTCGTCGGCCAGGGTTGAGCCTGTACACCCTTACTACTGAGTCTCCTGCGGCTGCTGAGTCTGGCCAGGTAGCTGCGTCGAGTCAGGTGTTTGCTGCAGCGTCCAGGTCTGGTCCTGAGTCTGCTCCCTGCTCGTGGCGTCTTCTGTCCCACCAGACTCTCCTTTGGCACCAACGTCTTGGTCACCCCTCTCTGCCTCGTCTCCGAGGCATGGCCTCCCGTGTCCTTGTCTCTGGTCTCCCCCGGTCTCTCCCTCCCCTACCTCCGGGGCCTGCCCCAACCTGCATCCCCTGCGTCAAGGGGCGACAGCGCACCGCCCCTCACTCCTCCGAGTTTCCTTCGACAGAGGCTCCGCTGCAGACTCTCCACATGGACGTGTGGGGCCCCGCCCGCGTCCGTGGACAGGGGCACGAGCGTTACTTCCTGTTGGTGG